TATTTATTTATACGACATATATGAATTATATTTGTGTGTTTATATTGATATTATTTTTAAGCTTAGTTGGCATAAAAAATGGTTCCACACTCTTTAACTTTACAGAAATTTCTACTCAGTAATTTTGAGAAATATTCATCATTAAATAACTACAACAAACTGATTCAAAAATAAAAAAAATAAATAAATAAAAAAAAAAAAAAGTGCAGAGAGCTAAGCTTATCTTTATTTACAATGGCTGCTCAGTAATATCGGCATCATGACAGCAATTTGCTTTTCGAATTCCTGGAAAATTTCGTTTGTTTTTTTTTTTACCACACACAACATAAATTTTAAGGCATTTATGCAAAACATGAGTTCCTAGTCTCGAGTGGCGAGCGAGGTCACAGTTTTTGATATTGGATATACCTTCCTCCAGCTGTATTTATTTACTTGTATTTCCATTTACTTTTCTGGTTCAATTCATAACCGTTCTGAGAAGAATGTTGATTTTCAAAACAGATGCCAATTTTGTGGTTGGAAATAGCCCAAATACAGCTCGAAAAATGTTTATCATGTCAAGCCGCATCATGGAGGCCAGAGAACAATGCAGCTCCCAAAAAGCACGCACACAAAACACTTGAGGCCAAGCACAGATTGGCAGAGCCCGCAGTCAGATGGGGTCAAAGGGCGACTTGTGGGCTAATTGTGCTGTTGCTGCTGTCAACAATGTGGCAAATGGCCCAAAACATGACAGCCAACCAGCTAGCTAGAACTTGCCAATTTGGCAAATGTATTAAAGGGTCTCGCGCCGCAGCAGGTGTCAATCAGTGTGACCCATAGGCTGGTCATAATTTCTATCCAGAATTCAAGGCAAGAATCCAATTGTTAGTCTCTGCCAAATCATTCCCAGAAATTGAAGTGTTTCTTAATTTAATTATATATGATTTATGACTCAATTACCGTTTCGGAGAAGAATCCCGGCTTTTTAGCTAGTTCTGTATTTCGCTTGCACAACACATGGAATCTAGCGCACTTGAAACTTGAAAACTTTCGGCAGGCTTTTTGTATTTAGCTCAAATTTCTTTTTATATATTTTTGCCTTTAACTTCTTTTTATTTATTTATTGGCGGCTGCCTGGCCGTAGGCAGCGTCTCTTAGCAAGTTGCGACTTGATGGCGCCCGTGACGTATGCTACACAAAAAAACACACGCGAACACACACGCATACACTCACACTCATACACAGACACACACGCAAATCGCAATCTTGGCAAACACTTAAACTTGGCTGCGGCTGCCGTTGACTTCCGTTCGCCGTTGTTGTTATTGTTGTTGTTTTTGCTGTGGTCAAATTTGAATTGTTGCTGCTGTTTATGTTTAGTGCAACAACTGGAAGTGCCTACGCCTCATCTATATGTGCACACTCACACACTGGCACACTCACATACGCGCGGAGTCATTGTTGCGGATGTTTCATTAATGGAGAAAGCGCGACGCGTCGCTCGTTCCGTTCCGTTGCGCTGCTTCGATTCGGTTTTGTTTTCGTGCGCCCCGTTAGCCGCGACCAAACAACACAAATATCGAACGTGAACTGACACGAAAATTCGCCTAAAACGGGCGCTGCCACAATTGAGCGCTTCGTTGCAGCCCGTTTCGGACATGTACCGTTAGCTACGAATTGCACACGAAGCTGTCAATTTCGAAATAGGCACACAGCAGCGCCAAACGGCCGTTTCCCGAACTACAGCATTGCGTTGCCTGAGAGCGCACTGTCTATTGTGAAGAGCACCAACTGGGCGGTTGAGAGGGAGCGAGAGAAATTCCCTGCCGGTTGCTGTTGCAGGGGAAATGTGTGTGGGCAAGGTACTTTTGTATGCTTGAAAACTGGGATATTTGCAGCTTTGATTTCCCCAACTAACAAATTTTCGAAATTCTTTTAC